GGAGGGGCTTAGCGCTGTCAATCCTGCTCATGTACACGCTATTTTGTGGAAAGCCATCTGTCAACATTCATTTTAAAGTAGCACCATAGATTCTTAATTGTATTTTAGTTGAATGATATGTGTTAAAAAAATATTTTCTATTTGGGTTAGAACTGAAATTAATTGATTAAGCTGAATAGGAAACTCAGTGTGGTAATGGCAGAGAAACACTGTACCGTTCCAGTAAACCTGGTGGCTATGCTAGCTAACATGACAATTCATGGCAGGCTCTGTAGGCTGCAGAGTAGTAGAGAGCAAGGGTGTGAGCAGCGGATACACAAGCATGATTAACAGCGCTCCTCCTGGCTCTGATTGGTTGTTTCTGACGGGGCAGTGTGTCTCTGCAGTTATTGCTGGGAGATGCCAGAAGAACATGATTGTGATCTTGATCTATCCGCTTCATACTGTCATAACAAACTGACAGCTTTATGTAAAAATCTTATTTTTATATATATATATATATATATATATATATATATATATATATATATATATATATATATATAAAAGATACATATTGTATGTTTAAAGATGTATGGGGAGATTTAGGGATGTTAATGCTCTTGCTACCTGAGAAACTCCAAACAGAGTCTCAGTGATGGAAACTTCTACGTCATAAGCAGAGTCACCACAGGAAGTTGTCATCACTCTAGACGCAAGTCAGACGCAAAGGAAATGATAAAGACAACACGAAAAAGAATATCCTGACTCAAAACCACAAACTGACTCCCACCGATGAGTGATGGTGGTAGACCAAGACTAAACCAGCAAAGGAGGAAAAAATGCAGCTGGATAAGATGCCAGAGCGGCAGCTGAGCAAGTCCTGACTGGAAGTCACACATAAGCATTTTTAAAGCCTCCACACCCACAAACAGGACGCAAGCCAAACCGTCAGTGATTACAGAAGCTTGTATTCACCCAGTCAGATTCAATAAGCGCTTGTTGCAAATTCTCAGAATCTCGGTTCAGGTTTATATTCACACAAATTGATATAAAACAGGTTTTCATGGACCGATCACTGACAATGTAGCCATCAATCCCCTGACACGATGAAACAAACCTAAAACCAGTGATGCTACCAACATGGCCGACAGCAAGAAATTGCTTTTCCTTTGGTTTGCAACGATCGCTGCTGATGATGTGCAGCAGATTTGGCTCTTTTTCACACATGTTGGGCAGCGTGGACGTTTCCACAGCCAAGTCCAAAACAATGGAGGTTTTTATAGTTGTTGGCTGATTGGCGACACTTGGAGGATGAACTAGGAAATAATGGCACACTCCAGAAAGATATGATCATTATTAATACATGCAAGTGTAATTAATGAAACATGATAAAAGTATATGCATAGCGGTAAAGAAAATACCTTTAATAAGAATGAATTTACCTTTGAAGGACCACAGGGAATAATTTCTGGTGTGGTCATATTTAATGGTGCAGAAAATGATTCTGGATTCTACCAAGGAATCTCATGTATACTTTATTTTTTCACCTGTTACATTTTGATTTCCTTTCTTTACTCTATATTACAAATAGCACTACAAATGCTATTAATGAACATGACACTTGCACATGGGTATTTGATATTTATATTTTGATATTCATAAATACCATTACAGAACCATTATGTTCAGCAAAAACATTCATATTTTGCAACTTTCCAATAAATGCTAATGTTACTTAT